AACCACTTTTGTCCCCAAGATGGATGTTCATTAATTGCCTGTAAGAGGAATTGTCATCTATGAGTCTAGCCGACTGCATTAATGAAGGGTGTTGGTTTTAATTTCGGAGGAATAATATCCTGAATGCATTGTTTTATTCAGGCATCTTCCCTTCTTCCATCTCTGTATCACCAGCCGGATGTCTTTGATAGCAAGAATTTCTTGGCATACATAAGAGATTGTTTACTTAGACCTGCTTTGGGGATGATAAAGTGGTTTGATCATTCTGGCTCCTCTGATGATGTACATGTTTATTTTTGTTGGAAGGAGAAAATATCTGCATTTTCTGTTGAGCTGTTTGTTTCTGATGTTCCTATAGGTCTTGTTGAGCCTTGGAATTAAATGGTGAGGATGGTTTAGTTCAATGTTTAATGTATGGAATAAAACCTGTGATTTGCTTAGAAACAAAGACTATCCTGATCAGCTGACAAGTTGTTAGCATAACTTGTTGATATTGGCTACCTTTCTAAAACCTTTCTCTAATTCCTTACGGCGCTTCAGAGTTCATAAAACATAAAATAATAGGGTTGGAAGGGACTTTGGAGGTCTTCTAGTCCAGCCCCCTGCTCCTTGCACAGGCAAGCTGCCAGGGAGCTGACCAATACTAGAGCTAATGAAAGTCTTAATTTCCAAAATTTCCACAAAATCAGGGCCACCTCCAGGGTCTATCTGCATCCTAACCTTGCACCTTTCTACCCAGCTGTTGATCTTGGCTTATGGCAGTCTCTCTTTTGCTTCTCTTCCATTACTGCAAAGATCAGAAATTTCTTTCCCTGGAACAATGAGATTGTTGAAGCATCTTGCAGATGTCCCAACAGAATTTTTGCAACCTTGAGTTACGTGTTACTTGACTGGGTTTTTTTTCTTCTTCTTTTCATCTCTAGCTCTCTAACCTGCAGTGGTTCTTAGCTAGCTTATACTATGACAAAAGCAAACCTTGTGGTATGGTGTGTATGCACCCAGTGGCAATAACCGATAGTGTTTTGGGCTGCTCTGAGCATACAGCAAATTCTGATTTTGCTGTGGGGATTTAGGGAAGTATTACACGAACACCGTTGATCCAAACAGACTGTGCTTCATAAAATGAGCATATGGCTTTATAACATTTCCCCACTGCGCACCCAGTGATTGTCGACAGCTCTTCCCCCTGGAGTTCTCACAAGTTGCAAAATGTAAAGGTAAAATCCACGTTGATTGGGAATTCTGGAAATTGAAGTATGGGTTATGCTGAGGGCACTCAGTGGGCGATTGCTTTTCTAAGGAATCAAACTTTGTAATTCTATCTTGAGGAAATGAAGTATCTGTTGGTTCATTCTTGGCTTGCAGTTGATAAAATATGATTAAAAGAAATAACAGTTCTGTTTTGACTGAACCACAATCAGATCTCATGAAGCAGTCAAATTAATGTTCCTATGTTTAGGTGTTCCTGCCAAAGATGTGTTATTTCTGTAATAATTGAATGACGAGGGGGAAAAAATGTGAGATTGCAGATTCTTTAGAGATGAAAAAAATCCAGCTCTGGACTATTTTAATGTGATCTAGTAACTAGGATACAGTACTGTGTTGTTTTTTTTCTTTATGGCCACTTGAGAGGCTAAACTAGATAAAGGTAGTCCTTGACTTATAACTGTTTGTTTAGTGACCGTTCAAAGTTACAACGGCACTAAAAATGACTTACAATCATTTTTCACACTTACGACTGTTACAACATCCCTATTGTCATGTGATCAAAATTCACAGGCTTGGCAACTGACGGTCGCCGTGTCCCGGGGTCACGTGATCCCCTTTGGCGAACTTCTGACAAGCAAAGACCATGTGGAAATCAGATTCACTTTACAACCGTGTCACTAACTTAACAGACTGCATTGCTTCCCTTAACAACTACATCAAGAAAAGTCCTAAAGTGGGGCGGAATTCACTTAACAATATTTCTCCCTTAGCGACATAAATTCTGGGCTCAATGGTGGTTGTAAGTCGAGGACTGCCTGTATGGCGGCAGCAGATCCTACCGTTTAAACTTCTAGCCTAATCATGTGTAATTGAAAATCTTGGGATAATCGTTTCCCAATTGATGATTTCGCTTTCTGTGGCCTATCAGGGGCCAGAGAAGCGTAGAATTGAAAGTGGCCTCGGATTTCATCCGGTCCAACCTCTGACGGGAATATCGGGAAGGCAGCACCACTAAGGAGCGATCCTCGCTAAATGCTTCCAGCGAAGGTGAAGGGATCATCTCCCCCCGGCTGTTCTATCAGCCCCTTCATCTTCTCTTCTCCAGGCTAAATATAGCCAGCTCTTCCAACTGTTTTTCGTAACATTTCAATTCTAAATCTTTTGTTATCCTACCCGTCCATCTACAAGGGGTCTCACTCGTTCGGTCTTTTTCTTAACGATGTTTCATCCAGAGCTGGACACGGTTCTCCAGTCGTAGCCTAACTCTGCATTACAGAACGGAGCTAACTCTCTTAAAGCAGCTTAAGATGTCTTGAACTTATTTTGTACTTGGCATCGCACTGCTGGCTGTTGTTCACTTTTGCGACTCGCTCGACATCTCTATCCTTCTCTCATACGCACCATTGCCAAGCCAAACATCTCTTGTGCCTGGGGTTTTTTTTTTTAATTTTTTTGTTTGCTATCTAAATGCAGAACTTTTAATTTCTGTTACATTTCACTGTGTTGGCTTCGGCCCAGAGTCTTAGCCGGTCAGATTCATTTTGTCATCTCAACTAAACCCTGATAGCAAAAGTAGGCTCAGTGGAAGAAAAAAAAAATAAAGTGGAATTTAAGGAAACCTAATGCGAAGCAGGAAGGAGACACCATTCCTTTCAGCTACATATTCTTTTGCCCCAAAACTCTCCTTCAAACACCTGGCGTAGTTGTTAATTATTTAACCAGTCTTTTCCTTTCTTCGCGTAACGACAGATTTCGAGGAACGAACGTTTTCCTTAAAAATGGAGGAAATACTTTGGATCATTCAGATGGAGCTTAAACCCTGTTGTCACACTCCTCTAAACGGGAGAGGATGGCTTGTTTTTGGCCCTTAGTGTTGACTTTGTTGTATAAATGAACCCTTCGTGTTCAGGGTTCACTTCTAAAGGCCAGATGTTGGCAGCTACTGGGTGTATTTGACAGAGCAGTACTAGAATGGATTTTCTGATTAAACAAACCTTTGCTCTTAGCTTTCAAAGTGTTCTTTGTGTTTCTATTGATGTGCTTGCTCATGCATGTACAAGTACAGCCTCTGAACTTTCTATCGTGAGCGCCTGCTGGAAATCGGAGTTCTTTGTCATTAAATTCTAGCAAGAAACTCTTTAAAAGCACATCGCAAAAAATAAGGGCATCGTAGTACAGGTAACTGACCTGCAGGACCAAGATTTATGTTGCTAAGGGGAACATTGAGTGAGTTTCGCCCCATTTTACGACTTTTCTATGATCACGGTTACCACTTATTACTTGTATGTACACTGAGAGCGTACGCACCGGAAACAAATTCCTTGTGTGTCCAACCACATTTGGCCAATAAAGAATTCTATTCTATTTCCTTGCCCCAGTTGCTAAGGAAATCCTTGCGTTTGTTAATTTAGTAACAGGGTTGTTAAGTGAATCTGCATTTCCCGTTGATTTCGCTTGTCAGAAGGTCGCGGAGACTGGGGACCCGGAGTTAAGATGGCGGCGCCTGGATCGGCTACGGCTGCCTTGGCTCTGGAAGGTGAAAAGGTTTTGGAGGGATACAAGGGATAGAGGCCACCTGAGTAAAGTAGTAGGACCGAGCTAACATACGACCGACACTCTTGGCTTTTGGCACGGCGAGTTTTGAGCTGTTTCGGAACCGTTGGTGAGACCGTTGAGAGTCGTTGGCGCTGTTTGAAATTGTTCTGCCGGCAGCAAGATCGGGCTGCTGGCCCAGCGACGGATTCTATTGCAGATCAGGGCTGTTTCCGATGGAGGCTGAGGAGGAGAAGTCCCGGGGGCTTATGGAGTGAAGGAACTGGAGGAGGCCGTCGGCAGGCCCAGAGGCAGCAGCGTGCTCCAGGGGCGAAAAGGAGCGAGGCCTGATCTTGGAAGAGAGAGACAGAATCAGAAAAAGGAAAGGAGGCGAGGTTGTCCTGCAGGAATATAAGCTAATTTGAGGGCTAATCCACACGGAGCTCCGTTTTCCATCTGCCCTGTTTGCCATCGTTTGCTATCTAGAGACTAAAATGGGCAATCTGAAACTTGAGCTGGCCCCGAACAAGGAGTGAATATTGGAGGTGGTGGCCCTTTGAGAGCTGCATGCAAGAAATTTCATTTTGATGTACGCCGATTGGTGTATGTTCAAAGTGACAATAAAGTTATTATTCCATTCCATTCCTTATTCTATTCTATTCTATTCTATTCTATTCTATTCTATTCTATTCTATTCTATTATTCTATTCTATCCCATCCCATCCCATCCCATCCCATCCCATCCCATCCCATCCCAAAGCCAATCACACGGCCCTAGGACAGTGTAACCGTCATAAATATGAGCCAGTTATCAAGCCTCTGAATTTGTGTTAACATTTGTGTATAAGAACAGCACCTCTGTGATAATACCTAAGTGTCAAGCCCTTTTGATGGAGGAATAACTTTTTAAAAACTCTAGTAAGAAACCACAACACTGGCTGGGAAATGTTTGAAACTCAACCGGGTTTTAATTTGATCACCTAAGCCAAACCTTTTCTGAATTCTTAAAATGGCCAGTTTTAAAAAGAGTTCCTAGTACAACGAACGAACTTTCCACGGTTTCTCCTTATAAATGAATTAGAAGGCAAAAGCCCAGGTTTGGGAAAACATATATGCTGTGCAATTCATGAAAATAACTGAACGTAACGCTGCTATTTATTAGTCCAGTTGTATTAGTTTCTGAGCTTTTTATAAATTGTGCCCTGCGGTGTGTAAGAGAAATCTTTTCCCAGCTTGAGCTGTTTATGCTGAAATATGAGTGGAATCTGCTAACCTTTTCCTTTTTCTCGCAGTGCTTTGTGCCAAGAATCTCGCAAAGAAAGATTTCTTCAGTAAGTAACTGGAAATCTCTATATATACTTTTTCATACCTCCCCATCCCATCCTTTGTGCATATTGAAACTATTCTGCTGAGGTTAATTCTTTTCTTCCATGTTTCTGTTGAGGGCATTTAAGGAAAGTTTCTCGAGAGTCGGAAGCATAACTATCTGAAATTTATATTCACCAGACCACGAAGCAGCCAGCGTGATCTTTTTTGCTGCGAGCTGCTTAAAGCAGATCTTGACTCTGACGGCTGCCAGCAAATACATTTCTGCTCATGCTCACTCTCTCCCTTCTAAATTGGGTGAGGCGCTGTAAGGCACGGTAAATATCTCCTCTTGTGAGATGGCAGATCAAGTCACACTGAATTAACGGGGGGAATCACCGGTGCGGGTTCTTTTCACGGACAGGCCTGGTGTGACACGTCGAAGATCATACATTAGAAACCCGGAAAAGGCTTAGTTGCACTTTTCAGCATTTCAGGGGACTTTAAAAATAGCACATCATGGAATTAGTTAGACTGAGCTTTGTGTTCTCTTCCAGAGGCATGCTGCTTTTAAATCAAAGGCCATCTAGGACTTGTATAGCACAGCAAAAGTTGACTGGATCCAACATTGCCCTTGGTGTGGGGTCTTTGGCGAGGGGGTTTAAGGGCTGAAATACAGGCCTTAAAATACAGGCCCTAAAATAAGTCTGAGTAGCCGCATTTGGCTCACACTCTGTGTGTTTTATACACCATGCTTTACCTCTTCTACACTAAGAGAAACTTTACCAGAGAGAAAATCCTCTGTATTCCCAGCAACTGTCTTCTCACAATTACAGGAGAGCAGTTAAACATTGTGGTTTGGCAGCCATCTGCAAGTTTCATTGGTCTTTGTTCTTTGCAGGGCTTCCTGACCCCTTTGCAAAGATTGTGGTGGATGGGTCTGGTCAGTGTCATTCCACCGACACTGTGAAGAACACCTTAGATCCCAAATGGAACCAACATTACGATTTGTAAGTTGTCTGTTCAGCATGAGGTTTTATTTATTTTTCTCACGTGCATTTTTTACAGATTACATTTTTATGCCGCCCATCTCACTGAGGTGGGTTCCAAGGGAGAATCCTTGTTCCTTCTTCATTTACACGATGTATTTACAACCTTGATCTGTACCTGGGAACCAAAGCTCACGCTAACTTACAGCAAAAGAGAAATAACACAGTGAATGCAAGTAGGCTACCGAATAAACTTAAGAAAGCAGTTCCCAAATAGTCCATAAAATAACAATTCCTTCTATGTCTCCTCTCTTACACAACTGGCGGTCTAAAAGGCTTTATATTAGCAGTGCTGATCCAAAGTAATATCGAGGCAATGCCCACTCCCCAGGGATGATTATTAGTATGTTTTGTTAAAGAACGTTCTTGTGTAATAATTTGCGAGACTTAATTTTGGGGCTTGTGAGTTTTGAGCTATCGGCTAGACTCCAAGACACTTATTTTAAGCATGCCCAAGTGACTTAATGTACTTTTGAAAAGCCCCTCACTTGAAAACATTGCATCTTGTCTGGCTTCTGAATTCCAGAAATGAAAGCCTGTATCTCTTTTCTAGAAATCCTTGCGTAATTCCTTGGCTGTTAGCAACAGAAGATGCCTCTTGTCCTATGTAGTCATAGCACAAAAATGAGCCTTGATGCAGCAGCTCCAGTTTTGGGAAAAAAGCAGCCTTTCCGTAGTCTAATGAGCTCTTCACTTTGTAGTTTGTAATAAGGTTGTCTGCAATTAACAAATGTTTGTGTATTATCTATTTAACACGCTGTGCAAATTACAGTAATCTAGTGATTAGTTGCATGTTTCTCTTCTTTGATAAAGACGTGGTGTAACCAAAGCATTATTCAAATGGGTTCACAAATGGGAAAGTTGTACCATAGCAGAGAGAAAAAAAAACAAAACCTCAGTTAAACATCCTCCTCCAACTGATTATTCTAGATACGTTGGAAAATCAGATTCTATCACCATCAGTGTCTGGAATCATAAGAAAATTCACAAAAAACAGGGAGCTGGCTTCCTGGGATGCGTCCGACTTCTTTCCAATGCCATCAGCAGGCTAAAAGATACGGGATGTAAGCACATCTTTATTGCCAAATGTTTTCTGGGTTGGTTTGGACAGTATTTTGTGTCTCTTGTATATATTCTTGGGTGAATTTTTCCCCCCGTTGTTCGTTTCAGACCAGCGTTTGGATCTATGCAAACTAAATCCTACAGACACGGATGCAGTCCGAGGCCAGATAGTTGGTGAGAATATCTGAACAGCTCATAAAATATAGCCATTGTGTTCGTTCAACTCCGGATATAACAAGCAGAATACTTCTTTATTGAAGATTAGTATGACTGAGGTGGTAAAAAAAAAAGTCTTCCTTTTTAGACTGCCCCCTAGTGTGACAAATTTGCTCTCTTTGCTCTTGTGAGGGAAAAGAATTTCGCAATTGCACGTTAATATGGAAGGCTTTGGGTTTTTAGCCAAAGGTATTATACAGATTGTAGTCTAAATTATTGTGCTGTGAATGCTTTGTTGATTGTTTTTAATTGTTAGTGGTCTTAATTCCTGAAATTTTAAGGATGCACTAGGAGTAGAGGGCTTATTATATTCTTCTTTTTTTTCCTTTTTGTCAATAAAGATTGAAGTACTAGACTACGAAAACGCACTGCCTCTTAAGACCCAAATTATCTCAGCAAAGTATTGCTAGGAAGGGACTCTGCATGTGGATCGTATCCAAATGCTTGAGAGTCTATAAAATGTACAAATGCTTGCCACGTCAAAGCAAACCACATCCCAGGATGTTTTTATATTTTAATTGCTGTCTTTTATTTGTATACTGAAACGTTTGCATTTTTTGTTTCTCTTTTTTTTTTTTTCTCATTCCAGTCAGCCTACAGACACGAGACAGGATAGGCACAGGAGGGTCTGTGGTAGACTGCAGGGGGCTCTTGGAGAATGAAGGGTAGGTATCCCGTCTTCTGATCAGTTTCAGGACTGTGGGGTCCTTGATGCTCTCTCTGAGCTTGGTTTGTCTCCTTGCAGACCTTTCATTTCCAAACCGCCTCGCTTTGCCTGGTCGAAACTGAACAGAATTAGAAGGGATAACTGGAAGAAGTGCCTCTGCCTTGCATCGGCGGGGATGGAAAGATCCCTCTTGTTGCGATTGTGGTGCAGATAGGCAAGCTATTAAACCAGTGGTTCTCAACCTGTGGGTCGGGACCCCATTTGGGGTCGATTGACCATTTCACGGGGGTCGCCAAGCAAGGCTGTCCGCCATTTTTTCCCCTTTTCCGGCGGGTGCCTTACCTCCCTTGGGCTGGGCCAGCTGGTGGTCGGCCTGCTCCGTCTCTGCCGCTTGCCAGCTACGCCTCGGCCGGCGCAGGGGGCAGAACCACGCATGTGCGGCGCTCCCGGGCAGGGAACGTCCTCGACTTACGACCGGTTGGGTAGTCCTCGACTTACGACCGGCTTAGTCCTCGACTTACGACCGGTTTAATCCTCGACTTACGACCGGTTGGGGTCGCGGCATTAACAAGGTTGAGAACCACTGTATTAAACGCATTGCGCAAGATGGCCCATCATATGCGCTCTCTGGTTCCCCAGAAGATCTGTGCGAAGCAACCCTAGAGGTGATCACCTGGATAGGCACTTCTTCCAGTATCAACCCTAATTCTGTTCAGTGATCCAGTTATGAGGCCACTGCCCTATCCCCAGAGATGTTTTACTTATAATTTCGTAGACTGTGTATACATGAGGGTGGAGGTTCGTTCTCTGAGCTTGTGGGTTTGGTTTCCAAACGTTTCGTTACCAGGCTAGGTAACGTCTTCAGTGGAATTGAGGGGATGTCAGTGTTGGTGACAGTGTCAGCGAAGAATTCCACCGAAGGTGTTACCTAGCTTGGTAACAAAACATTTGGAAACCAACCCACACTCTAGCTGCAGATATTCGCCATTATCGCAAACTGTGTATATTTACTTCTTTTCTGTCGTGTGCTCATCATACGCTAAATAATGAATAAAATTTCCATCGTCGTCGTGCGCTGATGATGTTCCCTAGTTGAGTCATGAAACGTCTTCAAGAAAACAGCCAATCTCGGACAGCCCCAGGGACCCTCCACAATTCCTCCCCGAACTGCAAATATTCTATCCATTTAAGAATAAAAGCTAATTTTAGCTTTTAGTTGCAGCAAAGAAAGGGGGCCGAAAAGTAAGGTTGCTTTCCCTCAGCATTTTTATCATCATGAAGTGAGTCACTGGAGGAAGTCTGGTCACTTAAGAGATAAATGCAAATGTAGTCTTTGGCATACACATGTCCCTTGCAGTTGTGAGTCATTTGCATTTTGTGCTTCCAAGACATTTTTCTGGGTTCTTGGCTTTCTGAGGGTGAGGTCTTCTGGGAAAGGCTGGGCCCCTTCCCCTAAGGAGGATTCCTCCAACGCAGTGGTTCTCAACCTGTGGGTCGGGACCCCATTTGGGGTTGATCGACCATTTCACGGGGGTCGCCAAGCAAGGCTGTCCGCCATTTTTTTTTCCCCTTTTCCGGCGGGTGCCTTACCTCCCTTGGGCTGGGCCAGCTGGTGGTCGGCCTGCTCCATCTCTGCCGCTTGCCAGCTACGCCTCGGCCGGCGCAGGGGGCGGAACCACGCATGCGCGGCGCTCCCGGGCAGCGAAAGTCCTCGACTTACGACCGGTTTAGTCCTCGACTTACGACCGGTTTAGTCCTCGACTTACGACCGGTTGGGGTCGCGGCATTAAAAAGGTTGAGAACCACTGCTCCAACGCTTTCTTAGGGGATGGGTGAAAATCTGTCCACTGAACGAGTTTCTCTACTTTCAGAACGGTTTATGAAGACTCGGGACCTGGGAGGCCTCTGAGCTGCTACATGGAGGAGCCAGCCCCGTACACGGACAGCACAGGAGCTGCTGGCGGAGGGAACTGTAGGTTCCCGGAAACCCCTGGCCAGGATCAGACCCTCCAGGTCCAGCGATTGCGGGGTCCTGATGTAAGAAGCCATGTCCAGACCCCCCAAAATAGGCCCCACGGTCATCAGTCGCCATCACCGGATCTGCCTGAAGGCTACGGTGAGTTTGGGTAGGGTTGCTGCCCATCCCTAACCTGGCAATCCCAGGGCAAGACCAAATGGTTCAATTATTTTTTTTTATATTTGTAATTGATCTTATATATATTTTTTAATGGCACTGCAAGCTGTTCAGAGTCATTTTGCATAGCGAGACAGGTAGCATGTGAGGGAGGGAGGGAAGGAAGGAAGGAAGGAAGGAAGGAAGGAAGGAAGGAAGGAAGGAAAAAAGAAAAAAAGAAAAAGATGGGGTATTGGAGGAAGAGACTTCTGTGACCTGTTTTGCATCCAGAAGTGGCATTACTTCATTTTGGTGACTTCTCTTTTATGGGATTTTACACTTGACACCCTAGCTCTATGTTTTACTTCCAGTATGTTTATGTTTATTGATGTGCGATTGGCTTTTGTCTAAGAGGCAGAATAAGTGGGAAGGTTTTTTTTTCCTGGAGCTGGCTAGATGGTAGTTTAACACTGTCAAGTGTTGTATTTCTCAAATGAATGTATCAGGATTTTGCAGCTGGACTGTTCATATGGTCTGTTGGCAAAGCGATATTAAAACCAGATTGTCGTGGAAGTTGGGAGGGAACCAGGCAAATCTTTTGCAGCTCCTAAAACAGCTGCCCAATAAAATGCAAATGACAAACAAGACCATATATTGCTCCAATATTGCAGCGGCACCAGGGATCGGTTCCGTGGAGAGAGGTTTTTCCGTGGACCAGAGGGGGCCTGGTTTCACGTGCTGCCTGCATCCCGCGGATGGGGCTTCACTTGTTTGCGTGGCCCGGTGCTGGTCCGGGGATTGGGGTCCCTTGCAATAGAGCACCGGGTTTCTGAATGAGCAGTAAACAAAAATAAATTTTAAAATTTCAAGGAAACTGCAACACACTTCTTGGTGTTACCTTTCGTAACACCTTTGTGTTACTTTTCATAAGACCTTTTGTACCTGTTGTAACAATGTCAAACTCTCCGAAGGTAAGGGAAGCAAATAAACTACTGTTCTAAAGATTTAGCTCAGTTTTACTAGGTCTGGCTTTAGTCACAAAGTTTTGTGATGGATTTGGACATTTTCTCCGTTAGCCTCTTTTTTCTTTTCTTTTTCTGTCTCTTTAGAGCAAAGGACAACAGTACAGGGACAAGTTTACTTTTTGCATACACAAACTGGGGTTAGCACCTGGCACGATCCCAGGATACCAAGGTAGGTATATTGGCTGCTTTTGAGTTCACTTAGATGTCTGCAGGAAGTGAAACTGTAGGATTTGGAGATTTATATGGCCACTCATCTCTGTAGACACGTTCAAATAATTTAAAATAATGCTGTCCTTGAGTTAAATCTTGTTCCTCCTCCTCCTTTTGTTTTTCCTTTTTTCTTTTTTGCAGAGACCTTAACAGTGTGAATTGTGATGAGCTTGGACCTCTGCCTCCAGGCTGGGAAGTTAGAAGTACAGTATCGGGAAGAATATATTTTGTAGATCATAATAACAGAACCACGCAGTTCACAGATCCAAGACTGCATCACATAATGAAGTACGTCGCCCTTAAGTTGCTGCTTGATCTTTGAGGCTGAGAATCAGGGCAAGATTAGTCCTGAATATAATATGGAGGTAGTGAAGCAGTAGGCTGCGTAAGGCAGTATTTAATATCTTTATGAGAGCCCTAAAAACAAGACTCCATTGAGCACACGTTGAACCAGAAACAACCTGGAAGGTATGTTGAAAGCTTTTGACGACAAGCTGTTTCCATTTTGAACGCTGCCATCTAAGTCAGTCTTATTCCAGTATAAATTAATTACCTTTTAAAAGGTACGACTGGGGACACCCGGCCTGCTCTAACAGGTGATACGGCTTCTTCCCCTCTGAAATATGTCATTGTCATCCCTTATTAGAGGTTTGGATCATCCCTGTGGTTGTGTAATTTTTAAGGCAGGTAACCTGGTGGGGAATTGCAGGAACAACCCGACGAGAAGGCGCCACCGCATTGCTTCAAAGAAATGAAAAATTTGGCTGTGTTGTCTTTTGTGGTGCTGTCAAGAAATTAATCTCCCCCCCTCCCGCATATCACCCTGTGAACACTGGTTTTCACATCTAAATGTGGCAGGAGACCCAAGTTATTGGGGGGGGGAGAGCAGGTGAATCCCCTCCAGAGTTATCTCCCTGTTGTACCAGATCAGATAGCGTAGGCATGTTCCAGGTCCCTTCCTTGAAATCTTGCCCACTAAGGCGACCTCAGAAACATGCTTCTGATGTGGCTGCCTCCACCATAGAAAACACACTCACCCCACCCACCCACCCCCTTTTTAGCTCTTCAGAAGTTCATCAAGATCTGCCTTTTTACCCAGGCTCTGGATACAGTGTGGAGTTGATTATGAGGCATCCCAAAGGCATGATGGAGGTCCTGGGTTTGGCTTGTGTTTTACGGTCCTTAGAGGCCACGGTTTTATTCGTGTGAGCTACCCCCTTGTAGTTTTAGAGCAGGGGTCTCCAACCTTGGCAACCTTAAGACCTGTGGACTTCAACTCCCAGAATCCCACAGGTCTCAAAGTTGCCAAGGTTAGGGAAGGCCACGTGCATTCTTCAAATAAATAAGCAAATGAACAGGCCCACTCCTGATGCCTCCTGCTTCTTTCTCTGCTTTTGGAAGTAACGTGTTCTCTCCCCTTTTTCCTTCCCCACCCAAGTCACCAATGCCAACTCAAAGAATCCAACCAGCCTCTGCAAGCCCCCAACGAGGGCTCGCTGGAAGACAGCGAGGAGCTGCCCGCTCAGAGATACGAACGGGACCTGGTGCAGAAGCTCAAGTTCCTCCGGCACGAACTCTCCCTCCAGCAGCCCCAGGCTGGCCACTGCCGCATCGAAGTATCCAGGGAGGAAATATTTGAGGTGTGTAAGCGGGAGCCCGAGGGAATGGGATCTGGGCTTCCTCTGCCTGCCAGGAAGAGGCACGTCGTCGTATAAAAAAGACGAGAAACTGGTGAATCTGAGACAGGTGGTCCTCAATTTACAGCCATTCGTTGAGCAGCCATTCTAAATTACAACCGCACCGGGGGAAAAAAATCGACTTAACAGCTGGTCTCTGCAGATACAGCGGTTGCGGCGTCCCCACGATCGTACGGTCCAGATTTGGACCCTTGGCAACCAGTGTGTATTTACAACGGTTGAAGCCTTCCGGGGTCGTCCTGCGATAGTCATTTGCGGCTTTCTCAACCAACTTTCAATAAGCAAAAATCACTGGGGGGGTCGGGGGGGAGAAGCTGGATTTGCTTAATGGCCCCGAAATTCCCGTAACAGCTGCAGTGATTGGCTTAGCCACTGTGTCAAAAGAAGGTCCTAAAATCCAGATACGTTTTGGTTAGGAAAGTTATCTAAAACTGACACGATTGGTAGGATGAGAAAAATGTAACGCAGATGTTGGTATTCAATTGTATGTGTATTAATAACAATAAGAATTGTATTTGCCTAGTGTGGGGAAGAAGAGAGGAAACACTGGGTGGTGTAATATTGGATCTAGACTGAAGAAGTTAACATAGACCACTGAATTACTAATGGACCCAGACAACACGTTGTCTATTAGGCATTTGACTGTAAAAGTAGAAAATTAATAAAATATTTATATAAAAAAAAAGTTCACAAAACCGCAGTTTTACATCAAGCCAAGCAACTTGTTGAGCATCAAGAACAAAACCACCTTTGGATAAGAAACAGCCAAAAGATTCTCCTTTTTTTTTTCTTCTTCTAACATTGGTTAGGAAAGAGATGTGAGAAGTTCAGCTGCTTTGGGTAAAATAAGGGGATTTTTTTTTTTTAAAAAAAAAAGCACTTCTCTTTCTGTGCGTAGGAATCTTACCGTCAGATAATGAAGATGAGGCCAAAAGACCTGAAGAAGAGGCTGATGGTGAAATTTCGGGGAGAGGAAGGCTTAGATTATGGTGGAGTGGCAAGGTAAGGGCCAGAATCCTAAAAGAGATTTTAGGATTTTTAGGGGTGTATTTGTGTGTGTGTGTGTGTGTGTGTGTGTGTGTGTGTGTGTGTGTGTGTGTGTGTGTGACTCTTCGTTTATATACTATTGGCTTGCTTGTTGGTGGAAGTGTTCCTGCTGGTTCGTTGAGGTTGTTCTTGGTGGCCCCTTATATAGGTGCTTCCTAAAATAAACAGAAGCAAACCCCTCTCTCTCCTAGCACTGATACTGTAGCCTAGTTGGGCAATGAAACATCTGCAAGAAAACAACCAAGCTCAGAGAGCACCAAGGACCCCACAGTCATCCTCCTCTTCGTCGTCATCCTCCTCCTCTTCCTCCTCCTCCTCTCCACAAACCCCACTCCCTTGTAGCACTGATGACGCTACCTAGTTGGGTAATGAAATGTCTCCAAGAAAAGAAGCAGGCTCAGAGAACACCAAGGATCCTACAGTCCTCCTCCTCCTCCTCTTCCTCCTCCTCCTCCTCCTCCTCCTCCTCCTCCTCCTCTTCCTCTTCCTCTTCCTCCTCCTCCTCCTCCTCCTCCTCCTCCACATTCTTTTAGCACTGATGATGTTACCTAGTTGGGTAATGAAATATCTGCAAGAAAACAATCAAACTCAAAGAGCACCAAGGGCCCCACAATAAGAATCATACTTAAAGAAACCAAAGCTGATTACGTTTGAATGTGTTCAGTGGGGTAGACATAAAGAAAGTTCCTTCCTTTTTACCCTGCTTTCTCTCCTGCAAATTCTGAAATGTGAAACGTGTGGCAGTAGATCTCTTTGCCTCTCATGTGCTTAGGCAAGCCACACTTTCTAACTTGTTTTGGAAAAGGTTCTCTTGATCCAGCTACCTCACCCGAGATTATGGCTGTATTTCATCCTGGCATCCTCTTGTAATGCTGATCGCTCCCTTGCATCATCTTGAGCACCCATTTCCTGGATTCGGGTGGCTGAATCCATCAGCGTCTAAATTGCTGCTGAACCAAAAAAACAACAACCCCTTTTTTGTTGTCTTGTCTATTGATACTGCTCTTTAATTTTGTTCTGTAGTCTGGGAGTTCTCTGCTTTTGACCTCTCCCTTGTCACCCTCTGTCTTGCGGAGCGTTTCAGCATCTCTTTATCTCGTCTGCACTTAAATGTGCTGTCTAGACGGATGCTGAATCCTCTAGCATGCCTTAACCAGATGTCTCCATTGGATTTGGGGGTGGGGTAGGCAGAAGATTCCCCATTATGCAATGAAGCTACTCTGTTATCTCAGGTGTTTAGCTCATCAGGCACCATCTTCCCACAAAAAAAAATCTTCACAGTTCTTCAAAAAAAAAAAAAAAAAGCCAAACTTCCTATTGCCTGTTCTTTTTTTATATATTCAAATTTTTATTAATTTTCAAATATACAAACAAGATACAAATATGGTATACATTAAACAAAAAAAACAACAAAAAAACCCCCATATCTATTCAGAGATGCTCAGCAGCCCCCCCGCCCGCGTCCACCCTCTCTTTCACCCTTCCTATCTACTTCCCTCCTCCTCTCTTCGTCCTACCTACACCTCTCTCCTCCTTCCTCCTCTCAACTACCCTACACATCCCACCTCCTTCCTTTCCTTCGGACGCAGTCTGGGGGCGCCAGCCGAGCATCTCACCTTCTTCAAATACATTATTTCACTGTAACATTTTAATATACCAACATTTATATTTACATCTTAAATCCCCTCCCCCCCCTGCACTTCCCGGAATCGAATACAGGGTTATGCACATGTCATCCCAGATCTAAATAAAACTACCCAAACATAATACAATCAAATATTAACATACTCTAACTCTACCTATTGCCTGTTTTTATTCTGTTTCCTGTCCTTCTTTAAGAGAGCAAGGAGGATCCAGAAAAGCTGTTGCGACTGAACTCTGCTTCATAATATTTTTCTTAAGCGGCAATCTTGCGAGCTGGAGTCAGCCTTTTTCAAAAGTGTCTTATGCTGTCTCATAAACCAGTATTATTTGTCAACCTCAGCAACTTTAAGAAGTGTGGACCTCAACTCCTAACATTCCCCCGGCCCACGTATCTTAAAGATGCTGAGCTTAAGGCTGTCATAGACCAGCTTGGAAACTAATCCAATTTCTTGAAGTGGAATAATAAACTTTTAACTTTCATTTCTCACCCTCCACCATTTCTAATCTTGTTGAAAATTATGTCCGGCAGGGAATGGCTGTACCTTCTATGCCACGAAATGCTGAATCCATATTATGGCCTTTTCCAATATTCAACTGATAACATTTACACGCTGCAAATAAATCCTGATTCCTCCATCAACCCCGTAAGTACTTTAAAAGCCAAGAATCTATTTGTGTCCTTTGAAGATATGCTTTAGAAGAAGCAACCCGCTCTGAAACCAGGGGAAATATAGAGGGCAGAGTTCAATCATCAGCTCATTTAGCGTTAGATCTCACCGGGATGTTATTTATTTGATATACTTTGTCAAATTTATGTGGCTGTCCATCTCACGAAGAGTGATTCTGAGTGGTGTACTGTACAACACTTAATTCAAACTATGTATTACTAAAACTTGCATTGTCATGACCTTTACCTGGGCAAGGTGATGCATCACAGGGCAACAGTTTTTGAATCCAGGTACCTCAGGTGGGCTAACTTACAGAATGTGCCCCAAATCCAGGACCCATGACTCCCAAGGGAATACAATTTGTGGAAATTGTGGTTGCTTCAGTGCTACTAGTTTCTGCTGGGCTGCTGCTGTGGTCACGTGATCTTCATTTTTCGGTGTTCCATAACAGTTTCCCAGCCAGTTTAGCAATCCCTCACTCCTTCCCCTACCCAGCAACAACCACTTGAGTGCTTATAAGTCGCCCTCTGGACTCGAGCCGCAAACTCTGTGCCGATATTGGAAACTTTGCATAAATTAATGGACTTTGGTGGCTCCACCGTGACATTTGCACACCTGCCCCTCTTTTTGAGCTCCTGCGGTGGGTAGGCCAGTCCGCTGCTTTAGGGCAAGCTAAGGCATCCTGCTTTGATTTTTCAACACAATCCAGTCGTGGGAGGAGGTCAAACTGAAACCTTTTCCCTCCTTTGTTTGATTTTTCTGTACATTCTGCGAACCGATTAATGTCTATTTTTCAGTCGAGTCCCCATAGACCATGGAAGGTAAGCGGATACGAAATAGGGCTCAGAGCTTTACCTAGAACTAACTGGCTTCTAATGGACTAATTGGTGTAGCCTGAACATGTTTCCACACGCAGGCAGGAGTGGGCAACGTTGGGAAGGGTCGAGACGGCCCTCACCCTTTTGCAATCAGCGGGGGCAACATGTGGATGGAGCCAAACGGGGGTGGGTGGGGTTGTGACTCAGATCTGAATGTGGCCGGGCTATTCCAGTCCTGTCCTCCCTCCTGCCCTAGGTAAGATTTGGCCTTGCTGCTCCCTCCACAAATCCATTTCTTTTTCCTTTTCGCCTTCTTCCTCTTTAACAATTGCCAGTATTATCCTTATTATTGCCATTGACGCCAGCCCCAGAGCTGTCAGCCCTGAAGGGAATGGCTAGCTAACGGATTTGTTTCCTCTGAAATTTGAAAGGGTTGTCTGGGCAGCCGCTTGTCACTCATGAC